CCGATATATTTCCGATTCTACGGGATTCCGTAGCCAATATCACATTAGGGATAATTTTCGGATTTCGCCTCGTACACAACGACCCCCAATATGAGGGAATTCTGGATACAGTGCACAAAATGTATGAACTCAACACAAAACTAAACGTTGTGAACTTTGTTCCCTTTTTGGAAAAGCTTCCGTTGCCAGTTCTCAAGGAATTCGATGAAGTTTCTACTCGTTTGGTTTTGCAAGTAATTGCATGGTTCAAAGGACAGGAAAACAATAAACACGTAGATTCAAGTCACATGAAATCTTTTGCCAATTGGTACAAAACTGACGTTATGAAGTACAAGCAGTACGAGATGGATGAGAAAGTGACATTGAGAGAAAATGACAAGAAACCAGCTTTGAATGATTCTATACAAGCGAATGGACAAGAAAAAGACGTCAAATTGGATAGCATATTTTCCGAAAACCAAATTATTTCTGTTGCTATCGACCTTTTTATGGCCGGTTTTGAGACCGTTACAACAACGTTACGATGGGGTTTTCTATATATGGCATTGCATCCTGAAATCCAGGCAAAAGTTCAAGAAGAAATTGACTCCAATTTAGGAGACCGAAACCCAAGTATTACAGACAAAGGTACACTGCCGTACACAGAGGCGACTATCATGGAAATACAGCGTCTGAATTATGTTCTTCCATTGGCGGTTCCACATTCTACCACAAAAGACGTGGAATTCCATGGCTACACCATCCCCAAGGATACTATGGTACTTGTGAATCTCTGGTCTGTCATGACGGACCCCGTATGTTGGCCAAATCCCGAGAAGTTCGACCCTCAGCGCCATCTGAACGAGAGAGGAAGAACCATACGCCACGTTGTATTTACCCCATTTTCTCTAGGTAGGTTATAGACAGCTTTTTTAAAAACATGACTTGCATCCTGAAATTTAAGTGACAGTGTGTATTTAACCGTTAATAGTACTGATCGTCTAAAATTGCATACATTTGATTTGCATATATGTTTAATTGATTTATTTATTCAGATGTATTTAAGCATGACTACTTGCATGTAGTGAACCATTACTAGTACTGATAGTTAGATTTCCAAGTATGTGATATGCATATTTGTTAATGTAAATTCAATCTACAATTAAGTTTTAATTTATTCAAATGTATATAAGCACGGCATGTTGCATGTCAGATATGGAAGTCCATTTAAAATGTAAATTAAAACCAAGTATAAAAGCAGCGACCGAGCTACAGCTAGAGAGAGATACAGGAGACTTATAGGAGAGAGATATATAGATAGAGACAGAGATATAGATGCATATAGACAGATGATCCGCGGACTAGCTAGTCCGTGGACAAATAACGCCGACCTCATTTGAAAGCCATGCCGAATAAATCCCTAATGGTCTCCCCGCCTACCCCACGCGCCAGGCCTGAAGGGGCCGAGTTATCAAACGGATAAAATCTCGGCACCGATATAAATTTGATATAAAAATCTTGCATGTTTGATCTCGAATGGACATAACATATATCTTTACAGGTAAACGGTCGTGCGTAGGAGCAGCACTTGCTAGAATGGAGCTCTTCCTTTTCTTTACCTCCTTGATGCAGAAGTTTACATTTCGTCTCCCAGACGGCGCTTCAGCTCCTGTGTTTGAGGAGGGCACTTTGGCATCAACGTTCAGCCCCCCTTACCACCAGCTCTGCGTGGTTTGTAGGGGCCCGAAGACTTAATCAGATAGGCTTGTCGACCGTTATTTCCTGTTTTTAATCTGTAAATACTGTGGTCAACTTTATTCATCTTTCAACAAGTTAAAACAAAAGCATTTTAAATTTTAAGTTTTAATTCTTTTTCACATTGTTCTCCACACAATGGACAATAGAAGTGTCACCCCCTGAATCAAAGTAATCAGATAATAATTAAGTAATCAATAATCAAAGTAGGCAGATCTTGAGTAGTTAAAATGCCTGGTCTACATTTTTTTGTGAAATTTGATGTTAATAAAATGATACCAGGAGCATATCATTTCACAGTCATTTATCTCCCCCAAAGTAATGATTCAGTAGGGGTGACACTTCTATTGTCCAGTGTGTGTACATATGAAAAGTTTTATCATTGTAGCGTATACCGGTAAATCTACATGGGTATAGATGAAATTGTGCAATAGAAATGTAACTGTAAATAAGTAAACTGTAACGTCTTCTAGGTCTCTCTTAGCAAGTGAGCTCTGAACTATAATGCAACTAGAGATCAGATCTCTTCGCATTTCATGATAATGACAATTTTCTCATCTGTTATTCTTCGACTAAATTTTGTATGTGTTTTGTAAATATCTGTAGTATAATTTTACCTCACTGCGTATTAGAATGATTTTCTTTCTTTTTATGTGTGATTTATGTCTTGCACGTTTCATTTCTTTTATCCTTGAAGGGGGAATAAATAAATGAATACATAGTGTTTGTTAACTGTTATAATAATTCAAAGCTTTTTTATTATTTGTTACATACCTACGGTGCAGATTTTTCTATATGGAAAAAAGTTTCGATAAGATAACCTTTAGTTATTTGAATCCTGTAACACCATAGAACTTTTATCGAAAAAAAAAAAAAAAAAAAAAAAAAAAAAAAAAAAAAAAAAAAAA